AGAACCACTTTCTTGCTAATTTCTATGTTTAGCTCAATTTATCTCTAATATTACAACCATTATTACAAAAGTTCTTTGAAACATAAATTAAAAAAAAATATATTATAAATAAATGCAAAATTACGCAAAATCGATTTAAGCTTTTATGTGATCAGAGCACAAAATGTGATCAGAGAAACAAAAATGTCTGCATGTTTGTAGAATATTCGAAATAAGAACCGAGCTGAGTAGAATAAAATTCAATAATTGTTTGCTATTTCTACACACATATACACAAGAAACATATGCATTCATGGTTTTCGGTACACTTGCGAACAACAGAATCACGTTTCTAATTTTTTAGTAATTTACATACTATAATTAATAATGTTTAAAAAAAAAATCGATCTGTGAAGGCAAATATTTCGACTTGAAGGCTAACATCGAAAAACTGAGAAATAACTTTTTTATTTATAACTCAATCTCTCGAAAAAAATTTGTGAACTACCGATTTTTAGAAACTTTTGCTTTTCGCATTTATTAAATCTAAACTGCTTTGTATAAAATGTAAACTCTCGAACTTCAATTATTGGAATTCCATTATACGCACGTTTTTTTGGCATTTAGAAGCTATATTTTCACGTGTTTCGTCATCACCAAAAAGTATCATATATTAACTGTTTATAAAAATGAAATTTTATTTAGAAAAAATTAAAATCTAGAAAAATATGATTGTTGCCATCTAACACAATCAGCTGCTCAGTTGAATTTTATTTTGTCTGTTAAATTTAAATGCATTGAAGGTGAAACGACTTCATTGACTGCTAGTGTACATAACATATTGTACATATGTACATAAATATTTTTGTATAGAAGTTTGACTATGTAGAGCTAGTCTCAACGCGCATATAAAGATACATATTACAATTGCCTTTTGTTTTGACGTATTTTTATTTATTCGAACAATAAATGAAGATTTTGTGGGCTCACCCGGAGGGCGTTCGCTTGACTATTTGAAAAGGTTTTTGGCAGCGCTTAACGAACTCATATGAAAGTATGTAGATATGTATATATAATTTTTTTATTTTTGTCACAATTTTGTGCAAAATGCGTTGATAAGTTAATTGTGTCTTTAATTGCTGTGAAATGTGTGGGCATTTGCTATTTCAAAGAATACCTTGGTGACCACACATTTTTGGGTCGTTTCAATAAATCGTTTATGTGTCTCGAATTTATAATTGTTTTCTTGGTAAATACGTACATATACTTGTATATGTATGTAAGAGTATGTACCTATATAGTTATATACAAATTGGCTACTTTATAGTCGCCATTAGGCATCACTAATCATAAACAATCACCATACACAAATACGTATTTTAAATGACGGCTTCTAGCGTCTGACGTTTGATTGTGGCGACAATGTTGGCTTACAAGTCAGCACCATGGCCACAAGAGACGACTAAAACAACGTCAACATTACACCGGGCAACAACAACAGCAACTACAATACCATCATCCAGCCCAACCAAATTTAGCGCTATCGAAAGTGTATTTCTAATTTCGAATTTGAATTTCAATGTGATTAACAGCAGCAACAACAAATGCAATAGCAGGGACGGCGGCACCGGCCGCAACAGCTATGGGCACTCACATAAGGCAATCTTACGTGTATGAATGTGATGTATTTAGTTCGCCGCCAAATTTGGAGGACTTATATTGTAATTTTATTCAAAGTTTTTTCTTTTAAGCATTGAATATACAAATTTATGTGTCAGAGAAGAACGACGTGTTATATATCAAAGTTTGCATAATCCTGAGGTGTGTATAGACGCAAAATATGTACATAAATGTTTGCAAAGGATATGTACATACCATATACATATACATATGTACATGTTTGTGAAATGTTAACTTTTGACGATACTTTTAGGGGTTATATCCACTTGCAAGTCAGAAAAAAATGCATTTTTTGTGTATTTTGCAGACTGTATTTATTAAGCTATTGCATAGCTTTTATCGTGGACTTTGAGTGTGCTGACCGAATTAAAAAAATTCCTAAACGGAAATAAACCTAACACGATCACAAAGTATGCGTAAATTTTATTGCATACTTTTAGGCGTATTTTCGCATATTTCAAGCGGAACAAATCAATTGAAGAGCAGGGGGATTCAAATATAATTATATTTAAGATACAAATTTTTTAATTTCAAAAAAAAAAACAGTGGAATTTAATAAAAATTTAATTAATAAAAAATAATTATTCAATATTCGAAGTCATAATATTAGTAACATTATTATAATATTATTTTGGTAAATAGCTACCCCACCTTTTGTAACAGTATCTCGTTAGAATTGAACAATACAAATCAAATTATGTATTTCAATCGGATTATCAATGGTAATAAATTTTCACTTATCTTGGCTGGCAATTTCGAGATCAACTTCGCTGATAAGATCAGAGCGTTTGACAATTTTTCTTTCGGAAAATATTAATTTGAAAATCAATAATGATCCACAAGAATCCACAACAAAATATGGGACCACCATTGACGCGATATTTTTCAGACATTTAGAGGATATCAAGTCTCAAACTTATGTTTCTTATTTCAGTTACCATAAACCTGAATAAGCTAAAAAAAAATAAATAATTATAACTGCATAAGTTGATAAAAAATGCTATGCAATAGCTTTACCGCGGCAGTCCCCGAGTGCCACACGTATTTTTTTAAATAAATAAATAAGAAAAGCACAATTCGAAAATTTAATGTACTTTAATAATCGACGATTCATTTTTAAAAATTTTGAATCCCGTAGCCGATCTACAGTAGCATCTCCGAAGAAAAATGTAAGGCGGTGAGAAAGGTTTTTCTGCTTATAATTTCCAAAAATAAGACAAAAATTTATTATTACTATAAATGAATATACGTAATGATCCATGGGCTAGTCTGCCAAAAAAATTTCCACTTCAGAGTAGCTTAAGGAAGCGAAATTATTACAAATATGACTCTAGAAAGCTCGTGTGAAAATTTCAAATCGATCGTTTCAACCGGTTCAGAGAAATTTACCTCAACAACCCTGAAAACGAGAAAACGCGTTTAAAGTTGTGGGACAAATATGCTCATACTCATACCCGAAACTATTTGCCGGATCTATTTAAAATTTTCTGGTAACATTTATAAATATATGTACATTCGATGTATATGCAAAAAAGTTCAGTTTTTCGAAATTCACAAGTAGATATAAGCGCTTAAACGACGTTTTCAAAAATACCCCAATTCATAATTTCTCTGCACACTTTAATATGAATGTAATGCGCAGGATTTTATGACTTCCGGTTACATATTGTGGAGAAACATTCAGAAAATAAATTACTTGCTCGGCGTGGCTTGAATAAAATTGCTAGACGGAATTTTGTTCTGCCAATGTGTTTATCTTAACCATTTAAAACTATTGAATAAAAATTAGGTAACGGTTTTAAGTCTTTTAATGGCCAAATCCGGTAACTTTCTACATTATCCGGGTGATATGACTAATTTCGTGTTCAAAAGCACTGGTTTTAAGATTTTGTTTGTACCAAATAACTGCAAACTTTTGGAGACATAATGCATTCAATATGGTAATATTCGGACAACTCTTAATTACATTCATAAATTACATGATTAGCACTTAAAAAAAATATTTGCACATATTTTTAAGAACGTAAATTATAAATTTGCCATAGCTGTAAAAATTAGCTACCCATGCAAGCACATGCTGCATATACCATAGTGCTATGAAAATAATGGAGCAAAATTGCAAATGAAAAAGTTCACGGTTTCGGGTGTAGATTTTATGATTTACAGAAATCGATTATAGAGGAACTCTGCATATCTAAGTCCATCTTGCTGCGGTCATTCGCTGAAATGCCACAGACGTCAACGTATTTGCTATTTACTACTGTCATCTATACAATACATAATTGCTATGCCATGCGAAATTTTTTTGGCAACTACAATACAACACCGAAAGGGGCAATACGAGTAGATATACAGCGGCTAAGAGACACATTGCTGCTGAGTATATGGTATACACATGTTAATAAATGCAGCAATAAGAACCAAAAGGTGTAGACATAAAATAAGTCCATTGAGCACAGATTATTGTAAATAACGATTGCAAAAACAGTAGCTTCCGCTAAAGTCGTAAAATTTCAAATTGATTTTGCTTCGTCAGATCACATGTGGGACACTATATGATGCACACAGGTTAATTTAAGCTGCATCCATATAGACTTATGCACAAGCATAAATTTATTACTGAAATTGCCGCATGTCAACGCTTTCAACAGCTGTTTTATGACAAGAGTAGTGTTTTTTTCGCTCAAATAAAATTAGTTCTTTCAAAATGAAATTAGTTTGTGTCGGTATGTGTGTCTGTAAAAGTGCCATAAGTAAACTGAAAAGTTCATGGGTTAGTAAAAATACACAGAGGAGATTTTGATACGTGAACATCGAGATTCATACAACTTATCCAACGTTGCTGGTCATAAACGCAGCTAGTCGGCATGGCAACCTCATAGCCGGTGTTGGTTTATTGTTCAACCCGAGCCATAAGATTTTTCACCCACTAACCGTTGTTGGGTTAAAAAGGGTCAATTGTGGTACGTTTAACCTGAATTTGGACAAACAGTGGTAGTTGTTGTTTTTACTCCAGGTATGTAATGTATATAGCTAATGAAAAAGTAAGTTAAATGTGGTATTAAAACTTTCTCTCTTATCCAAATATGCTGTCATAAATTTAGCCTAAATGAATATACCGTTTACCAACTTGACACAGAGATTTAAAGAATTCATTCGAATAACGCTATAATTTGAAGAACCATAAAAACTAAAAACAAAATTGCATTATAGGTATATATGTATGAACCAAACCTAAAATACATTCCATAGCTAAAATTTCCGACTACAGTTAACTAAGTTTAACTGCTTAAATCTATTTTGTTAAAAACAAATGGAATAAATCTAGTTTCTTCACTCACCTGTGCTCCACCATTGTCCCTTTGTACTTGAAAACGTGTCAGATCCTGTTTAATAGATTCGAGGGCATGAGCTGTGTATTTATTTTTGGGGCGACCCCTTTTTTCGCCCGCTGGATGCATTCTTGTGATATTTAGCAGTCATATCACAAACAACTAACTTGTACAAAACCAAAAAATTTACGGTTTTCCTTTGTTGTTGTCTTTAGATACGTCTGAGTTGTTTTTGGTTTCTTCTTCTTTTTCAACTTAGGACACGTTTTAAATTTTGCACTATAGTTTCACTTAACTATGTATGTATATATTTTCAGACTTTAAGTTGACTTGCCGGCAGCTGATTCCGCCGTATTCTTAGTATAATATTTAATCAAGATAACTTGTTCGAGATATAAGGAAAGTGATAAAGCGAGGTACAACACACACATTCAAGTAGTATTTCTTTTTTTGTGTTTTTGTTCCAAGTATTTCTCTTTTTTTTTTTTTAAATATTTTCAACGTGCAAATTCTGGAAGCGATATTAAACTAAAAACACTGAATTTGCATAATAATGCACATCACTAAAGCATCTTAACGCTTTGCTCTTTGTTGTACAATATTTGCACTTTTCATTTATTCTTTATCAACAGGGCAAAACAACAATTTTGCTAAAACTTAAACACGGTTTGTTGCGCATTCCTCTCGACGGCTGCGTGCTTTTGCTATTCAGCAGCTTGATATGTTCTGAAAATAGGCAGATAAAATAGAAAATTTAGAGGGTGTACGGTTTCGTAGTTATTGTAAACTAAAATGTAAAATAAATAAATAATGGGTGAGGATTTTGGAAATATTTTATCAGCATAGCTGTATGTATGTACAGTAATTTGCGCTTAATGAACTTATATTAATATGTAAACAAAAAAATATACATATGCATATAGCTATGCGGGCGTGTTTATTAAAATTAATGTATGTGCATATATGAATATACAGAAGATGCCAACTTTATGAGTCACAGATAAACATTTGAGCTATCGAATGGCAAATGTAAATTTATAAATCAAACACGGCTTGAAATATTCAGTTGACATTGCTAACAATCTAAATACACACATATTTAACGCATTAAACAAAAAGTAACAAAAATTACAGAAACTAGTAAGGAAATCACAAGATATCAAAGCATATACATACATACTTATATATGTATGCAACTAATTCTGATTTTACACGTTATATTATATATATGTATATATATTTCGCAGAGTTCCTAGGTGGAACACAGGGCCACAATCGGAAAATTGGTTCCAGAAAAAACCGTGTAAAAAAGACATTGATCGTATGCAAAATTAGGTGGTTGGTTCCTTATCTTTAAAACCGGTTGGAATTTGTGAAAAACAAGGATTTTCTAAGAACAAATATTAATGTTTTTTTTTATCAAATCACATACATATAAATTGTGTACTTAGACAAGCATACTTGTAGTTATTGAAGCAAAAAGATGCCGTTCCCACGACGGTGGGATTTACGTAACCGGAACAGACCCGGATTTTATTCGGCCAAGGACTGTCAACTCGACAGATTTCTGCCGCTACAACAATAACAACAAAAATATAAGCACTCTAAGCTTAAAGTGATGTAAATTAAATGTGTGGCAAGTTCAGGAACTAAAAACAATTATGTAAAACAGTCAATAATAACTGATTAAATATTAAACATTTGTTTGGCTTTTCTTTCATCTTAAGCGCTAAAATTAAATTTAATGTAACTTTGGAAAAACAAATTTGCCTATAAAATATGTATTTACCGAGAACGTCTGATTGCACAATAACTCTTAAATTTGTGATATAAACATATTTCGTAAAAACTAAATATGACAAATAAAATTTAAGCACAAAAATGTTGAATCATGCTAAATAAAACAGGCGGAATAAAATCGTCTAAAAAATTTAAACAAAAATTATTTTCAAACCGTGTAAAAACAGAAGCAGGTGTATAAAGATGCGATCAGAAAGCAAAGGTTTTTCCAATGATTTCTCACAACAATTTCAAAACATTGGATACATTGTTAAATTTTTAAAACTTCGGAGTGCACCCTTCTGTAAGGCAATGAAAGCTAGCAAAGTTTTTGTATAGCTTGAATTATACTTTACCACTCAGCTGATGTTTGCTTACTTTTATGCTGATTATATTCATTAGACTTATTATATATTGTATATGTATAAAGTAACTGAATGAAAATAAAACTAATCATCATAACTATTATGATGAAACTGATTTACATTGATTATTCATAATATCCACAAGAGTCATATTGGAACAAAAATCTACAAATGTTACATCAGCCACAAAAATACAGCCATTGACTCAGACAGGAACGCTTTGTGGTTTCATAAATTATATTCAGATTTTATTACACTAAAAATCTGTTGTATGAAGTTACGCAAATAGGTGTATATACAGTCAAACCTATACAATAAAAGAGAACTAGGTACGCGAGAAAACTCTATAAGTGAGAATAATTCTCAGGTCCCGAACTTTGACCTTTCAAAAACCTCTAAGTGTGAGTAACAGAAACCTCCATAATTGACAGTCGTTTTTCCCACTCTGACCTCTATAACTGAGAGGTAAATACAAAACCTTTATAAGCGACAAATTTTCTATGTATGATTCATTTTTTTTTCAGGTATCAGGAACTATCTGCAGTTCATAAACAGCCACGAACAGTACAGCTCTTACAACAACTTATAATGTTTAAACGAAAAATCGGCGTGTTGTCGTTTTAGTGAAAAACCTCTATAAGCGAGAAAAAAATCGTGGTCTCTTGAACTCTCTCTTAACCAGGTTTGACTGTAGTGCATTGTATGTGGTGTTATTATTATATATTTACGTTCAGAAGAACCTTCTTTGAAACAAAGTTGAAATATTGAAATACTTGATAATATTCTCTTGAAAGATAAATGTATGTACGTTAATTGGCCATAAATACATGAGTACTTTCGTGTCATCTAATAAAGATTGCGTATGGCGATTTTGGATCCTTATTCGAACATAATTATACATATTTATATCAACATAAATTATCCTTGTATATACGATCAAACGATCATTTATTACAATTAATGTAAATGTCCTCACATATGTATAATATGCATAAGTAATAGAGTGTACTATTTCACCACTGAATCTGGCAGCTAGCTAAATAATTACAAAGCGGATTTACAACAGCTCAACGACAGTGACCGATAATAAGTAGTAAAGGAAATACCTTCTAAGTTAAGAAAAAAAAAAAGTAACAAGTAAGGAATGGCTAAGTTCGGGTGTAACCGAATATTTCATATTCTTGCAACTTGCAAGGATCAAAGGCGGAGAAATAACTTCAGTGTTGGCAAAACTTTATATTAAGAAATGTTGCGAAAAGGTTCAACTTCATAGTTCGATGAAATCAATCAAATTTGGTACTCACTTAGTTTTATTACTATATTTTAGGAATTTTTCTATCAGGAAAATTATACTAAAATCATTAGTAGCATAGAAACGGAAGTGCTGATTGCATTAATTTTTGAAATTGCTCAGGTATACAGGGTATAGGAGAAGTTATTTTTAAGCAATTTTCTAAATATATATAAACATATATATGAAGTAAAGTCAGCCAGACGTTTCAAAATCGTGAATATCAGTTATATGGGGGGCTAAGGCAAGTTTTCGCGCGATTTTATCCATATTAGACACAAAGATATACCGTCATTAGAAAAACACGGCCCAATTTGAATAATTTTTAGACCTAAGATGACATACCTTAAAGGTAATATTCGTGCTAATTTTTATCCCGATTAATTGATCAGAGTTTTATTTGTATATTGGAAAGTGAAAAAGTCAAATGGAATTTAAGTTGTGTGATTTGGGAAGTAGGCGTATCGAACAGTACCGATTTCCCCTTTTTTTGGCACTGTTACATGAGAATGTCAAAATAATTTTATGTACCAAATTTGGTTGAAATTGGTAGAGTAGGTTCGGAGATATGTGATTTCACCTTAATGTGGCCGGTGCTACGTCCATTGTGCAATTTTGACACCTGCTTCTTTAAAGCTATTTTTTGTCATCTCGGATGCAAAATTTCATGTCTCTGGCGCATTTCATTATTGATTTATCGCAGTTTTAGTAGTTTTTAACAAAACAGTTATATGGGGAGTGGGCGTGGTTATCATCCGATATCACTTATTTTCATGCTGTCGTAAGAGATGTCCTGTACAAATTTGGGTGTTATAGCTTGAATAGTTTGGGAGATATATACATTAAACCTATTAGAGCGCGTTTATTTTTAGGTGATACAAACAACCGTTAGGTGAACAAAACTATTATACTCTTTAGCAACATGTTGCAAAAGTATAAATGCTAAGTGACCCATTTAACATTGCGTACAGAATCATACACTCCAACTCTGTATAACATCTGAATACGGTACGGTCCTACGGTAAATTACTTTCGAAACTTCCATCCATGAATTACCACGCCAAATTGCTTTAAAAACTACTATAAAACTCATTACTAATTATTTTCGGAAGATTTCTTTAAAAAAAAAAAAAAGTTGGTCCGGTCCCTCTTTACGTGATCTAATAATTTTTACAGTGAAATGGAGTAATTGACACACTGTCACCAAGCAGAACCGGGTGATCGCCACAGCTCATATAGTATAGTAAGTATGCACGTACTAGGGTGCATACGTATGTATGTATGTATCTCTGCCAAACATCATGCTGGCTAGAGCAGCGCTGCGCTGGATAAAAATAGAATTAGTTGCTGATAATTATTGCAAAGTTCGGCATTTGTGCGTTCTGCGTTTTCTTCGTGCATTCATTTTTTCTTGCTTTTTACTTCGGCTCGCCTTTGCGCTTTACGCTTTTCTATTTTCAATTGCATTGATCGTTGTGTTTATTCTCGCCTCACGCACACATGAAATATTCATGAGCTATTCGCACGCAATATGAAATTGTTACTTGCACTAGCAACAGCAACAACAAATTAAAACAACAATTACAATTAAGCTTTCGAACGCAATGCTCCCAAGCGATCACACAACTGTGCGCACCAGCCTGTCTGTCTGACTGACCACTGACGATATGCAGACAGCGGACAATGGACACTGCCAGTTGTCACATCAACAAAGCAGAAAACACACATTATATGATGAACCTATAAATGTTTGTATGTATGTATATAAATGAATACCAAATTGCTGCGTGAGCGAAAATTTTATAAACGGAAGGTAGACGAAAGTAGAAGTCTTCAGATGAATAAATACATACATACATATATCGGTGTAATAATATAGAATATGATGATGAAAATATCAGCTCTTTGTAGATACTCGATAAACAAAAGTCTTTATATATTTCGGTAGTATATTTTGAACTAAACTCTTTAAATACAAAGGAAAAAAATAGCGTTAACTTCGTTTGCAACGTTATACCCTTCACAAATAAAAAAGTTTTCCATACAAGCACTTGATATAGGTATTTTTCAGTTTATACGGCAGCTATTGATATAGTGGCCCGATTTGAACAATTTGTTCGGAGATTGTACAGATAACAAAGCTCTACAAAAACAAATTTTTTTATGGCTCTGGATATCTTAGAACATTTTGATGGTTTCAAGTGTCCAGATTACAACCTTATACATGCAAATATTGAATGTGTTCTGGTTTTTAAGATAATTGCATATCTAATATTTTGATAATATCAGTTTGTTAGTAATAAAAATTTAATTTTCCAGTCATGAAAATTTCACTTTTGTTTCAAAAGTAATTAGCACAGACTACTAAGAAACAATGATGTTGCCAAATACCCAGATATCAGTACAGTTTACCAATGGATATGAATAAGAGTGTGAAACATCTACACCAAAATTATTTTCTCAAAATGAACTCAGTGATTTAATAGGCGATCAAGTTAAATCAAGTGGAAGAATATTGTTTTAGTGACATTTGTACAATATTTCCAAACTTAGTATGGAAAAGTTATATAGTGGAATATTTGAGATAGCAAATACTAAAAAATACAGATTTTATCAGGGTTATGACTGTTCTGGAAAAGGAATCGTCAAAAAGTTTTGTGTTGATAGACGAAAATTACCTAGGCAACCATAAAGTAACATACTAAATTATGCAGAAAATGTGCAAATTATGCTGACAAACTGTCGCAAGTTAGGCTATCTCCGCAATCATCTGAATAAATTTTCCAAAAGTTTTGGAAATTATAGTGAGGAAAAAGCAGTTTAACTAGGATCTAAAAGTGATGGAGGTTTGGTATCAATGTTGTTGAGATCGTCATATAATGGTAGTATACTGCTGGTTCTTAAAAAGATATTGTTAACTGGAAAATTATTAAGAAAAAACTCATAAAAGACATTTTATAGAAATATGACACATGTTTTTGACATTTTTCCTTTTTCTGCTTACATAAAAGTATTCTTATTTTTTCAAAACAAAACTGACATAATAAATAAATATGTTATTTGGTTTCATGCTTTCTGATTTTTGTAGTATAAAATGAAAATAAAAGAGTTAAAAATAAACGATAGCAAGTCTTACAAAACCATTCATTGTTTTCATTAACTGTAGACACAAATATATTCAAAAACGATCCTAGAGCAACAAAGCCACTTAAGACCAGTGTAATCCATGTCAAATTTCGTAAAAGTACCTTGTTAAATAAAAAAGTTTTCCACAGTACAAGAACTGCATATTAGTTGTTCAGTTTATATGACAGCTATATAGTATAGTGGTCCGATATCGGCGGTTCCGACAAATGAGCAACTTCTTGAGACGAAAAGGACACTAGAGGTAGTTTTTTCAATAGCCTTCTTTTGACAGATCACGCGTGAGTCGTGTCAAACTGTCATGTCGCTTTTGTTCAGTATTGTTTGGCATTTCATCATGGAAAGACTTACTCCTGAACAATGTTTACAAATCGTTCAACTATATCATGTTCTGTAAAGAATGTGTTTCGTACACTTCGTTCAACTTATGGTTAACATAATCGCTTCACTCTATGGGCTCTTGACACCCAGCAGAATATTGGATATTATCAACATGCTGGGGCTAGATGAGTCGATATGACTTAGGGGAGGACACAATAGACCATAGGTCGCGGTGCATGCCTCAAAATTAATCTGTCTGTCTATCTATGAGCTCTTGAAAGTTTCAAGAAAATCCGGAAGCAACCCGAAGAGCAACCTGAAGAGAATCAAGAGCTGTCATTTCATCCAGCAAAAACAACAGTTTGGTGTGGTTTGTGGGCCGGTGGAATCATCGGTCCATATTTCTTCAAAAATTATGTCGGTGAGAATGATGATAACCAACTATTTGGGATGGAGCCGCGTCCAATATTTGAAAGAGATAATCTTAAACAAATAAATGAAAAAGAATGTTCTTTCGAATAATAACAAACATTCTCCATTAAATTTCAATTTGGTGTGTTTTTCTTAAAAAAAAAAGCAGAGTACCTGAACTGGATCACCCCTTATGTATATTTTATAGGGTCAGCAAAGTTTTCTTCTGGGTTTTTTAAACTACGTGGCAAACTTAATATACCCTGTTCAGGGTATAATATATAAATTAATAAAATTAATATTAAACAAAAATCGAGTATTATATTTCACTTTTTAATTCAATAATTAGCATTTCGTTAAAAAGGCAATGCAAGGAACTATTAAATATTTGGGCATATCAAAACTTTTCTACTCTGTAAATGTTTACAACCGTCTTTTTGTGGGAGGGAGGGATAGGAATACGAGGCCAGATTATGTAAATGATGTGACTTCAAAAGGACTCCTGTTACTGAACGTAATGCAGTACTGCTGTTCCCCGGAGGTAGTTGGTGTTGCCTAGCTTACTGTTTATTATTTGAAAGTGGTAGTATATTACAAATACAATTTTGCGCACATACAAAGTAGAAGAGGCCAATTGTAAACTTCATAAAATATGACATGACTGACAGATGAAGCGCATAAGCGCATACCATTAAATTGCAAAGCGCAACATTTTCGCTAAGAGTACTACAATGGCAACGACATCATTCCACATTGCCAAAGATAAAAGCAATAATGCAGAAAGAGAAAACCCATAAACACTGACAGTAATGTGATCAAAGCAAATACCAAAAGCAAAACTAATGCAACAAGCGCACATATACACACTACACACAGTTCACCCCCACCACTTCAATGGTGGTAAAGTTTAACCGATCTAGCAGACCAAATATTCACTAGGCATGACCAAATGTCCACTTTGTCACTAAATCCCAACCCACTTCGAGTTTTTAGTTAACATACATACATACATATTATATGTACTTTTTATAGCTTGATCACTTGTAGAGGCTTAGTTGAAAACTTTTCGATCTTCCACTTGTAATTGCCGCCTCATTACCGCACGCGATAGGTAATCACTTCTCCATTCACCTACTAGTTCTTTGCTGAATGTGCTGATTCATGCTCACAAGCCACGTCTCTTGGAGATTTTTTTGCTTGTTTGGTCCTTGAGGTCTCCAGACAGTAATAGGTTTATAGTGATAATGCCGACAAATTATGTCCATATGTATGTATGTATTCCCACACAGCTATAAAGAATACATATTTGCTCACTTACATATGTACATACATTCATATACACACATTACAATTCACATTACATTGCCGCGTCGCCTCCACTCGCACTCGAAATGCATACTGGAATGTGAATGGAATTTCAAAAATGTTTTCATCGTTTACCAACGCTTGTAAACACATACTACATATACATAAACATATAAATAGGTATGAATGCGCCAGCGCAATAAGCGTTGCTTGCGGGCCCCTCAAGTAAACCAGCCCCAACAGTCATCTAGCCATTCGGTTGGCGCAGAATACCTATGTGCATAGTAGGTGTTTGCCATGTGTGACTGACGATGTTGTTAGTGTTAAACGTTGACGTAGTGTTGCTTTGCTAGATAATGTAGCGTAAGCAGCGGCAGTGGCAGAGGCAGAAGTAACGACTGTAGCCGCTTACGTCGCTGCCAATGAAGTTGGAGGCGGCATATAGAATACATTTTTGTAGCTACTTTTGTGAATATGTTTTAAACGTAGAAATATTCGTAAATGTTGTTGCCGTTGTTGTTATGATCGTGCCTTCGTGCGAGTGTCATAGGTATTTAAATATTTACCTATGTATGTATATATATATATGTATGGATGCATATATTTACATTGGTGTCCACTATTCGCAAATTATCATGCAAGAAGCGCAATCTTTTACTATTTGCCATCTAAGTGCAATGGCTGCGCGCGCATTTTTTTTATCATGCAAGTATATATTTACTTGATCTGATTCTTAGCAGAAATGTTTATGTACATACAGCTGTGGTCAAAATAATAAAAGTGACTGTTCCGTATACATATGTATGTATGTAAATTCGCACCATAACTTCATTTCATAGAACTGTCAAATTGAATAAAAAACGAACACGGTAAATAGTCCACTTTATTGCCAATTTCTGTTTCGCGTACAAAATAATTGGATTATTGTTGTTTTAAGAGGAAGTGTAAAAATACATACATATATGTATAAACACACACGTTCTCCATAGAATAATTTTTTTTTTTACTGGAGAATTTTTAAAACAGTTTATATTTTCACTCAAAATGTTATTATTATAAAGCGGAATATATCTTTTGCTCATATATCATAGACTGACTGTACAATTTTAAAAAGCAAAAAATGTAAGCTTAAAGTAAACGTTTAATTTGACACCAAATATCTCTATTAAATAGGTACTTATAGGTAAACTCACGATAAAAAGTCCTTGACGAAGCAGAACTTTCCTTTGCATTCAAAGTATAAATTTCAAGTTTTTAGGAATTCTTTCAGAACGCTTATTTTTAGAAATTCTATACTAATGTTCTTAGCTTTGTAAATAAAATTTTAAAAAAATTAACAGCTTAATTTTTTGCCCACTACTGTATTGTTATTATATTCACGTAGCAACAACAATAAAAATCCTTAAATTAATTTTTTTCAATAATGAAAACTAATTTATTTTTTTGACATTATTATGAAATAAGAAATATTTTTAAATTTTTTAATATATTTTTTTTTTAATATTTTTCAAGATTTGTAATAGGTACGTTTTTATGCACATAATTTTAGCTTAAAAATGCAAATATTATAGTTTCTTAGGTGCAAACAGTTTACATGGGAAACGGGATCATGAGGTAACATAAGAATCATTAACAGTTACACCACAACTGGTTAACAATGTCCAGTTACACTTATATACAGTTGCAAATTATAATTAGATTTTTAAATTTCTTTTATACCACATATCCTTTTTTGCAGTATTTTAATACAACTTTTGTATTTAATTTGATTTTCTTCACTTGTTCGTGTTTTGAATTTTACAATTGAACGATATAATCCTAAAATTCTTCATATCGTAATTAATGTACCCATTACGCACATAAACACACTATCAAAATATATCTAATAAGCATTTATCACAACCGTCTTAATTGCACTTGTAACAAAGTTTACGTATTTAAGTTTTGATTCCATAAACCGAATTTATATATGATGCCAGTAGAAAAATAGCGTATATTTTCTTATTTATTTCATTTCACTGTCAAAGTATACTTTTTACACGTGCGGAACTGTTGCATTTGAGCTATTTGAAAGACAATCAACAGCAGACCGACAGATATCTAGACACACAGAGACACGGAACGTCGAGCGAGAGCACAGCACACAACAAAGCAGCGAGCAATTTATTGTACTAGATTCATTCGTATCTTTGATATCGTATTGGACAAACGCATGGGAGGAGACGGGGTCAAACGAATTCCTCTTATTACGAACGAATACCAGAACTCGGGGAACTCACTGAAATTCCACAACTTTAAATTCAATATACTCCTTCTCACCTTGCATAAATACACTTCACAAACATCACATAAGAGTATTTTCACAGTAAATAATATTTTGTTAATATTTTTGTTCGATTTCGACGCGTCTAATTGGAAAATAATAATGATAAAAAGTTTAGAGCACACGCAAAGAACGATGAACAATAGCAAATGCAACGAGATGACGTTCGGCGAGTATGTATTCGGTCAAACACACTCGTTGGTACTGAACAATTAATTGTTCGCAGTGCTGCATTTTCACACTCAATTTTTAACACAATATATTTAGAGAAAGTTACTTAAAGAATTGGTTTATATTATATTTCGAAAGGGATTAGATTTAGTTTAGTAATTTGCATAAATATGTTGTTACATAATACATAAGACCAATATTTTATTTTCAGTTTGGGCTTATTAGAATATGAATATGAATATTTGTCACCCTATGTTTGTGAGTTGACACTACTGGAAACAGCTGGTTCAATTCACTTTTATTTTAGGTTATTTCATATCTACATATACAATTATTTTGTAGGTGTCCTAAACTGAAACCGCAGTTAAAAGAAATATAAATATAATACAATATGGGTAAAGTCATGTCAATGGTCGCCAATAAAATGAACCGATTCAATGTGGAAAATAGGGCACATCGCATACTAGAGCGTGACAAGCCTGTGCCGGCACCGAAATTCGAATCCAATATACAGGATATGCAGCGAGCTCTCGAATGTAAATATGAAATCATTTGATGACTTAAAATGAAAATTTAGATAATTTATATTTATTTAGTGGATCCGCAGCTAGTTGATAAACTAAACAAAAAAAATGTAGCGCTGGATGATCGATTAAAAAATGTTTATGTAACTTCGGAGGATAAATTTGTGGGTTAAATGGAAATTGTACTCAATTTTTTAACATGCATTAATAAATTTCATTATAAATAGATTGACTATGCTGCACAACGCACAGATCCTAATAAACCGCTTCCATTAAGTAGAAAAACCCCACAAGATTTCGAGTATGGGTACAGAGAACCAACACGAGTTGTGGCAGGTCGTTGTACACTGCGACAAGCGATGCAATTCATAACAGATCATCAAAGCGACCCAGAATTGTGGACGAAACAAAGAATTGCGTCAGACTATAAATTGAAGGAAGAAGTTGTCGGTAAATGGGTTTTTTTTAATTACTTTTTCTGCCTGCTTGATTAATAGCGATATTTTTTAGATAACATTCTTCATTATTTTAAAAGCTTTAACGTGTACATCCCAGATAAAGGTCAAAAGGAACGTATTCTATCCCAATCCAGTAATAAATTAATTGAAAGCAAAAAAGAAGATTAATACTCCAGCCGTTACATTAGCTATCCGAATTATTAACCGGTCACGTCTTGTTACTTCTATCAACAAGTTATACTACATTTTGTCGTTTGGAGTAATGCATTAAAGCTCAATGTAGACGATAGTTGATAAATAGAAATAATTGTTATCAAATATGAATTAAATGCTACAAATTTCCGCGTCGAAATCAATTCGATGTAAAATATCCATTTCTATTGAATTATGTTAAGCAACAATGTTAGGCGGACAATTATACAAATTTAAGGACTTGTCTTCCGATACTGATATAACTTTGTCATCTGATAAACTGTATTTTACGCCCCAAGCTTGGTCACTGTGCTCTGAAAATGTATGCATGCACTTGCGTTCGGCGAAATCCCAAATTTTTACGCTCATATCACTAGAAGAAGAAGCGAAATGTTTACCATCTTCGGAGAACGAGACACACAGCACCCACGAAGCATGACCTGATAAAGTACCAGCGACGTCCGAGTGAGCTCTATAAAAAAAAATGAGAGAACTCGTAGTAACCGTGGTAACTGTATACACTTTATACATACACATCATATAGTTTCATATGCCCATCATCAGAAGCCGTTAGCAGCATCTGCGAGTTTGGCGAAAAGCATAAGCTTCGAACCGACATGGCGTGACCTTCCAAAGTTTGCGCCACTTTGCCTGCAGCCACATCAAATATAGTGATAATGCCATCTATAGCACCACTTGCTATGTATTTTCCATCTGGACTCTACAATTATGTTATTGCCATTACATTTATATTTATTTTATAGTTTTAAAAGTTCGATTCAATGCTGTTCATCTTAAACTTACATAGGCAATGCTTAGCGTAAATTTTCCATTTTGGGGATCTAGTACTTGTTCCACCTTTCCAGTTTCAACGCTATACATTGAAATTTTTCCATCATTAGATCCCGAAATCACATATTTGTTGCAGGGAGAAAATGCTACAGTCCACAGATCAACTGGCCCAAACGAAAGCAAATGCTTTTGTTGGCCAGTTTTAGAATCCCAAAAGCAGAGGCTTGAGTCTAAAGAGCTACTCGCAATTGCTAAATTAAAACAAAAACATATAGTAAACTATTGTATTTAGTTCGACGTTTTAACACTCACTTTTTCCATCTGGACTGACAGCCACAGAAACAACACCTAAAGAATGTCCTTTCAAGGTGTGGCGTAGTTTTAATTGGTCATCGTCTCGAATATCCCACACTTTCACCAAATCATCCAGTCCGCCGGTTACAATAAAATCAACCGGTTCAGGCTTCTTTTTACCGTACATTGAATCATTACTAGCGTCTGCGTCTTTTTCTGGGTCAGCATTATTTTCGGATTGTCCTTCCTCTGGATGTAGGCGTCCCCAAGAACATGACCAAATCTACAATATAAATCGTATTTGTTTAATATTTACAACTTTCAACACACAACGCAAACTTACTCCATCATCGTGTGCCGCCTCTTCTTTATGCAACAAGGAGAACTAGAATTACATGGAAATATATAAGTTATAACAGTTACCTAAAATACAACTTAGAATTTCTACCAACCATTGCTTTTATTCTAAAAAACTAACAAAAGTTTAAATTATACTCCTAACTTGCTACACACTTACTACCGCAAAATGACAAATAAAAACAAACTGACAAAGCAACATATAAGCTTGCCACACTGGAACAATGTCAGTTTTATAGGAGCATTACCATATTAATGAATTAATATTTGTAAAAAATCATATGAAGTACAATTGAACTTAAATAAAAAAAGATATATTAAATAAAAATCATAAAAATTATATTTTATGTAAATTCTGGAATAACTTATTAAATTGAAATCATATCAATAGATCTTCTACAATAGTGATGCCACATAGAATATACTTCAGCATGTTTTAACTTACTTTACAAACAATCTGTTTAATTTTTTAAATTTATTTTCTAATTTGAAACCCGAATTCTTGGCAAATTTAGTATGCCCTCTAAAAGATTTTAATAAGTTGAGAGCATCGACAATTTCTATGAGCAACTTTGAAAAATTATTAAAGTCGCATCTAATGGTAACGTGTGTACATATTAAAATCTACTACTACAAATGTGGGGGATTTTCGCAGTAATGCATTTTGGGGCCTAATCTACCTGTCACTGCAGTCATTTCTTGTGAAACGGCTGAGTTAAGTGTGTTCGACGGTTTTGGTGAGCGCACTGTAATTAATCCTTATTTCAGAAATATAACTAATTTAGGAGCAGAAACTCCTCAACCGCTCGATAACAGATAACATATTTAATATAAATTGAAATCACAGTGTGTAAAATGTGATTGAATTTATGTGCAATCAAACGAAAAATAACAGATTGTTACGAAACAACGAGTGAATGAATGCATTGAAAATACACGAAAATAAAAAATGTAAGAATAGTAAAAGCAAAGAAATTGGGCAGAAAATATGGCGATAGCCGGAGAATATCCAAATAAAAGAAGTGAATGCTAAATAAAAAATATATATTTTGAAGTTATTTGGTGAAATTCTAAAAAGTTGTGAGTTTCTGGTGCATAAAATCGATTGTTAATCAAATAAAGCATCGCAATATTTTTGGCGTTATAAAAAAAATAAAAATTTGTTCTCTGCGGCGCGTGTGATTAATCAGACTCTTATTTGTATATGTATTTAAATATGTTGGATACTCCTGCGCATAAGAAGCGAATTTGGGTGGACGGATAAACGTTCAGAATTAGTCAGACGGTAAACAGTATGGCCGGTACCTTCTGTTGGAGCACTTTACATTCATTGGACAAATATTTAAATAAAAACTATAGTTTTAAGATCCTTTAAATTTTTGGTAGATTATCCCATAATGAATATTTTGAGATGTTTAGTAAAGGAGTCAAAAGTTTTTTTGTTTATTTGTTCATACATACATATATAAATGTACATATAATTAGTGTAACGCCTACTTGTTCATCGCAGTAATGATTAGACATTATAGCTCAAGTCGTCATATATTTAGTGAGTTATTAATACAATAATAGGAAATGGGATTTATTGAAAATTATTTGTTTAATAATTACTTTATTTTATGTATTTGATAATTTTCACTAAATAAGGAATAGTCAAATAATAACACGATTTCGAAAATAGATATACAAATAGACATACATACATACTTCGTCGTGGTGTTTCTCATAAACAAAAGTGCAACCGGTTTTTATTATGATTTTTTTTTTTCGTCCTTATTTTATTTACGACTAATATTTGACTTTTAATTGTAGTACGAGATCACAACAAAAATCGAAAAATAGTTTAAGAGTAAAAAAAGCGTTTGGAAAATATCTAGAAATGTAAGTACAAAAAATTTTCAAATATGTATTCAGTATTTCTTCCTTTATAACAAAAATATGTGTCTGCATACAAACATGCATTGTGGATAAAATAATAAGTATAAACCTAAGACTTCAGTTTTGAGTTGATTTTAGGTAAATTCTGATTTGAAATAGTATAAACAATGTATTGCATACATGTCTAAGCAGATAAAATGTAAATATTTTGAAAACATGTTTTCTATATGAACAAATTTTAATTTGACTTCATCAAAATTTGTGTTGCCAAATTTGAATTGTAAAGAATAAATAACTTCCAATAATTCAAATAATTATTCAAATTTCCATTTTGTTCCAATTTTTGTTCAGCATGAGTAGGTATGTGCTAAAAAGCCAGGTGCGAACAATTCGCATTCTTAAAATAGTTATCCGGCACTCAATCGTTGCGTTCAGCGTTGGTCAAATATAAGCATAAATAGCAACAAACACTGCTGTGTGGCGTTAAGCATACAAACCTTTGTATAAATATCTCCATGCATACGAATGTTCTTACCTAAATACCATGCAAACTTGTATATGTATGTATGTATGGTGCTTACCAGTGAGTATACATTTATAAATTAAACATGTATAGAATTTGTTTATAATCCAATCCAATTCTAAAAAAAAGAAGACAATTTTGCATATTACGGTAGAATTAAATAATTATTGATTTAAAAGCGATTGTTCATAATATTTAAATTCCGACATGGCGACAATAAAACGTTAGTCAATAATAATTTTTTTTGTTTTTATTTGAAAAGTTGGTTTAGCATTAATTTTACTTACTGGCGGATTATTGTACGTTATTCAAATTCAAATGTTAACTTCAATTATTTCGCTTTTCCTTCGCTTCAAGACTTCGCCTGGGGTTAGGTGTTGCAGACTGCCATGTCAATGTGCTGCTTTTCGCTCTCTTCATTCACAAATGCTACCGGGGCTTTGCATTTATGCATTTGAACTATTGTCAGTTGTGTTTGCTCATCGCAAATTCGCGTGCTGCCTGTGGAAAAATATACCGAACAAAGCGTTAAGCAAACTACCTACAATATTTTAGTGTAAATTGTTTGCGGAGAGTGGTCAACAAGCGTTCAACTTTAATTTACGCATACTCAATGTATTCCAAAGCGACGTGTTGTGAAAAATAATTACTATCAAATTTTTCTTCTGTTTAAAATTTTAACTTATAAATACAAATTGTTTCGGTTTTTTGTCGACTTTTGGTCGATAAAATAATTTTTAATCGCGGAATATGTTTATCAATTTATAAACTAATTTTTTTCCTTTAAACGCTTTTCCCAAAAATACAAAAGTACATTGTTTTTGTTTACAGATATTAGTCTCGTTTACAACAAACGTCAGAGACCTTATAAGTTCCAATATAGCATCTAGCTACTATGCAAACTGACCGATAAAAATCAAGATAAACACCTTTCTATACACTTTTATGTTATAAGAAGGGTAACTATGCAGGGTATTTTAGCTTCGAAGTTTACTTTATTTATTGTTTTAATAATAATTATTAGATTTTCACTTAATTTTGCAAAGGTCTAAACTTACATAAATTAGTGCCTAGTCTGATAGTTCTTCACATGGTATATTTTTCCACATTTACATTTTTTCCTAACGCCAGTATGTTTCCTTATATTTTTTCGACATAAATTTGCTGCATTTTTCATTAACAAATTTCCGCCCGGTTATAATGCAATTCATAATGCTCCAATAATCTCCACCTAGGGCATCACCAGCGAAATTGCAGCAATTTCTTTCATCTCCAAACATACCCACAGCCATACAGCGATATATCATACATACATATACATATGTGTATGTATACTTGGGTCGAGTGAATGCACAATAAATTTAGTTGATTATTAAGCTGCTGTCTGCCTCGCAGATAACCACTTAGTCGTAGCCCAGGCAACGAACGCGTTAGCTCAGCTGCAAAGTTCACGACCGGCACAAAGCGCTATATTACAACTTATCGCACTATTATTCTGGTGTGAATATGAAAAGAAACAAACAAAACCGATGAAGACAAGGAAAGCGCCCGCCGTAGATAGCTTATACTTGTGGCACATACATACATATAAAAGCATATATATACTTGTACATACATACGTACACAATGTTAATGATTACGACAATGACGAAGTCTCTGAATGAACGGCTGGCACACTTTATTTTCTTTTTTCAGCTGCGACTCAGTTTTATTTCTTTGTGTCGAGTAATTTAAGCAACCATTGACGGGATGACTCAGAAACGCTCAACCCGTTGCTAGATGACTTGCAGAGCTTTGAGGCGAGTTCAATGTAACTAGCGCGCTATACGTTGTCACTTTAGTAATTGATTTGATTGCTTATTTACATAGGTATACTCTGTTACTAAATTCCTCAGCTACATGTTTGATTATTTGCATGCATTGCTAAGAGCACCAGTCGTATGGCTGACGTTGCTGCTGATTTTGATGCTGACAGTAAATTGCTGAAAATAATTAAGTGCTGCTCGCTGCGCCAAGTGAGTCAAGGTCAGTCAGAAGCTCTACAGCTTTCACCCATTACAAGTGAAACGCTTCTGGCGGCTATTTTCTTGAGTACCACATAAAAATAGCATGTAAATATCTAAATTTTTTCTGTATGACACAGAACTAGTAGTGTCACAATATCAAAAAGCAAAAACAGAAAAGCATAAAAATTGCTTGTGCGTTCCCGTTTGCTATGCGTATGTGGTTGGCGCCTCTTCGTCTTGTTGTTATGATGTCATGCATGAATGTGGCTCCAAGTTGACGCTTTGAAAGAAAGGACATGAATATAAAAAAATTGGCTGCACTGGTCCCTCGCCCTGCCGATTTAAATAGAACGTTTTCTCAGATATGTATGTGTGTGTATTTGTAGTGCCGACGAGGTATGAAGCCTAAAAAGTTCAATGTATTTTTTGGACTGAGACACTTGGTTTTTCTCCTACTGGAAGTTGTAGCGCTGCATTAACTCTGATAGATTCCACTTCATATTTTTTTATTTTCTTAGTCCAAAAATTGAGATTAATTGCAGAATTGATTGTGGAATGAAGTTGTGTTTTTTATTCTTCATAATTTATACTATTAGGTTAGGTGAGTCAAGATTCACCAGAAAGAGAAACGTTTTCAATCTCTTGCAAATTTCAAAAAAATTTGGATTTGTTTTGCATGTATGTATATGTTTATATATTGCATGCACACATACAAGTATACTCCGAAAATTTAAAGTTGATCCGGCAATATAGTTTCGGAGATATGAGCGTATTTGTTAGAATTTTTTAACTTATTGCAATCGGATCCCAAAACTTTAAACGCGTTTTTCTCGAAACGCTGTTTGCATAGTCTATAAGCAAAATTTCTCCGAAGCGTCTGGATCGAGCGATATGAAATTCTCGCCTTACCTTCTTAGATATCATATTTTTCTGTTAATGATGGAAGGAATACACTTTTTGATAATAATGTCGATTTTAAAGCCGCTCTGAAGTGTAAATTTTTTCTCAATAAACGTAATACGTAATTTTGTCAAAACTCAAAATTTTGAGTTCCTTCGATCATTACCTGTATGTAAATCCAAAAAAATTTCAAACATTTTTTTTATTTATTTATTTATATTTTGCGTTTTCAAAAAAAAAAAATCTATAAAAAAATCGTTTTTTTCTGACTTGCAAGTAGATATAACTCCTTAATACAGACTTCACAGCGTTTTTCAAAACTGGTTGTTTATACTACAAACTTTATAAAGTAGTTGGCTCTTCCAAAAGCTCAATGGCTCCAAGTGTTTATTCATTTCATAAAATTTTACACATATAAAAGTTAAGATAAGTTGATCTATTAGGAAACATTATAACTCGATCCAGATTGTTTTTCAAAATCTCGATTTTGTCTTTCTCAAACCGAAATAAACTTCATCGCATTCAATTTTTCGAACGCTACTGTCAGAGAACTAATGTATGTAGCGTAAGTATTCAAACCATTATGCGATTTTCTTGCCGCCATTATCCACCAACTCCCATGCTAACGAGTTTACAAATTCGTTACACCCCACATAGATCGACGGGCATTTTTCATAGCCATATTTTCCGCCCTATTCTTTTGATGCTTCCATTTGTGTGATGTATTGTGCACTTTATGCACTGTGACTTGCAGTAATAGCATCACCATCACCATCATCGTCAGCGTCAGCGTCTGCAGTGGCGGCAGCGGTTGCACTCTTGGCACCATTTCACTTGAGCATTTCGCGTTCGAACAACAAACCCAGTTTTAAGAGCAGTTTAAGTACATATGTATATATGTATGTATGTGGTTCTATTTGCACAACAAACAGTGCTCTGCACTTCCTCGCGTTGGCAATATTCACAAACTTTGTCACAGGCCATTATACAAATTGTTTTTATTTCTTCGTTTACACTTTGCACTGCAGAAAAGTTATAGAAATACGAGTATGCCAGCATCACAATTGACACATTTAACAAATGGGCATACATATATAGTATATACATACATATGTACATATTTGTGTATACGACGGTAACGAATTATGTATTTATTTATTGAAAGAGCACAAATAGTTTTTGCCAACCCATAAAGCTTTTCTTTGAGAAGAGAACCTCTGCCATTTTCGACAATATCCAATCATTCAATTGAGTGTTTTCTCGCTTTTCGAAGTACTATCATAGCCATTTTCTTAAATATGTTAGAATATTTTCTTAGAACAACGGGCTTAGTGCCAGTGAAATGGCTCTCAAACTGTTGCATGAAAGCATTCAATATTATATCCTGCACATGGTATATTGAGTTTGCCACCATACAAACTGAATGATCAAAAACAAGTTCTTGTAAACAAAACTTGTTTTTACTTGACGAGATATCTTCATGAAATTTGGCATGAATGGTTGTCCAAGGCAACGCTACAATATCTGAAGAAATTTTCCAGAACGGACCACTCCATATATCATATACTTACCTG